ATCTTGCTTCTCATGTGTTTTAACGCAATGTTGACACACGGTGTAGCTGTAGAGGAAATGATTAAAATTATTCTTGTCTCCATAATCAAAAGTAAATCGGGGGATTTTCAAATAAACTATGTAAACTGCTTGAAATGAAAAATTAAAATTAGTATGTCCGGTGATACCTTGCAATCTAATGATTGTCAGTTGCTTTAAAGAAAATCACTCAACTGACACATGTAGGCCTGGCCTGTATTTGTTAAAGCAAGTTATAGACTATTCGGAATGGAAGCCCGGTTTTTGCCTGCTTCATTGATGCCAGTAAGCCTTTTGATAGAGTTAACCATTGGACATTAATCAAAATATTTATGGAAAGACGTGTGCATTTACCTATAGTAAAAGTAATTAAGTCTTGGTACTGTAAACAGAAATTTCTTATTCGTTGGGGAAATCAGATGTCTAGAGAATTTTCAGTCACAAATGAAGTAAGACAAGGAGGCGTGTTATCAAAATCTTATATGCCTATGTCAATGATTTGCCGAAAAGCATGATTTAATATACGGTACAATGCAAAAAATTCTGTTTGTATGGTGTTATACCCTAAAACAAGGGAACTGTCCGGTGTGCCCAATACGTTTCTTGTAGGTAAGAAATTAGACTATGTCGATTCCGTTTCTTACATACAATACGCTTCTTCTAACCAACCGGCCAACTGCCAATCTATCAACTACCAATCGACCAACCAACCAACCACCCAACCAACCAACTGACAAACCAACTGACCAACCATGGAAAAATAGGCCCTATATTAAAATTCTTAATATATTTTCTCCATGGACCAACCAACTGACCAAGCAACCAACCGACCAACGGCCAATCAACCAACAGACGGACCGAAATGACCAACCACCTAACCGACGAACCAAGACCAAGCAACCAACCAACTGACCTACCTACCAACCAACTAACTGAGAAACCAACGAACCAACTAGCCAACCAACCGACTAACCAACTGCCAATCGACCACCAATATTTTGTATCTTCTGTGGATTGAGTGTTTAGATTCTAACTTGCTATAAATTAAACATTGTTATGGGCTTGAATTTTAACTGAAATTGTGCAAATAATCCACGTACCTCTACCTTGTATAGTCATTTCTAATGTTTTTCTGTTTAAAGTAAAGGAGGTTATACGGTACCTACTACTATTGTGTTTAACGTTAAATTAAAATAAGGTACTTCCACAAATTTAGAATGATATTTACAAGAGAAAAAAATGATTTTTAAAAATGAAATGAGAATGTTATAAATAAGGAATGACTAATGTTTTACTGTTCTTTTCTTTTGCCTTGAATGTCTTTGTCATGTTTTTTGAATAAAAAAAAAAAAAAAAAAAAAAAAGATCATAGACGAGAGCAAAGTGGGCGTGGGAGGGCGTCGATTAAAATGTTTCAAAAGTGGTAAAAAATATGACAAGTTTGGGGGTTTCAGAGGCTTATTTCTGTCTCTTATACACATCTAGATGTGTATAAGAGACAGTACCTCTACCTTGTATACTCATTTCTAATGTTTTTCTGTTTAAAGTAAAGGAGGTTATACCTACTACTATTGTGTTTAACGTTAAATTAAAATAAGGTACTTCCACAGATTTAGAATGATATTTACAAGAGAAAAAAATGATTTTTAAAAATGAAATGAGAATGTTATAAATAAGGAATGACTAATGTTTTACTGTTCTTTTCTTTTGCCTTGAATGTCTTTGTCATGTTTTTTGAATAAAAAAAAAAAAAAAAAAAAAAAAAAGATCATAGACGAGAGCAAAGTGGGCGTGGGAGGGCGTCTATTAAAATGTTTCAAAAGTGGTAAAAAAATATGACAAGTTTGGGGGTTTCAGAGGCTTATTTAATCGATTTTATATAGTCTACTAATATGTAGAAAATACATAATATGTTGTCAACTACGAATTGTGTTTTTTCTTCTTTTTTTTGGGTGGGGGGTGGGGGAAACTGGGGGTAAGAACATTTTCTGGGGAAAGAACATTTTATGGGGGAAATTCCCCTCTCCCCACCCCCATAGCGCCGCCACTGAAGCTTATCTGTTAAAAAAAGAAACACATACAGATAGACACTGAATCAAATAAATTGTTAATTAAAATAAAATTAACGAGGCCTGTGGTAGGCCTACATTCGATGTCGGTCTTTATACATTTTTATATTATATTTTATACATATTTTAATTAAAAATACATTTTAATTAAAACAGGTCCTTCCAAATTTATCATGAATATTATCCACGGATTACTTACTATTAATAGGCCTAAAACAGTTGCTTATCAACCAGAAGTAGATATGCAGTCTCTTTTTGTAACGAAGCTAATGAATGAAAGCTGGGCCCTTCTTGAATCTTCCCCTACATCGACTTTATTACCACTCATGTTAAAATTCGCGATACTATGGAGTAATTGAACATCGGCAACTGAGTTACCCACCCATCTCACTGATCCAGAACCAGAAAAATACGTTACGAGTAATTGCAACGCGGTCTCTCTATCTCCCCATTAGTTTCCATCTGTATTATATTTGACCAAATCAGAATCTAATCACAATTTTAGCCAACAGATTTTGAAGCTGGCTTTGTCGGACAAAAAAATTTTGCCATTCATCCTATGATTGGTGGAGTGCTGCGTATGGAATGGATAAATACGTTGTGTTGTATTTGAACAACCAGGGTACCCAATTATACCACAGTTAAAAAGTCTTATTGCCTTTTAATTTAATTAATTTTTTATTGATTATTTAGGCGAATGGACAAGGATTGTCATTAGCGAAAAACATATCCACTTCATTCCCTTTCTCATAGAGGGACTCAGCTTATCGGGAACTTCCGATTGCATAGAAATTTACAACATCACTGACTACTGGTATAATGTATTGATGCAAATGATATACACTAATTGATTGATTTAATGGCACAACTAAGAACATCAATTCCCATAGATCTATAGAAATAGGATATGGCCTACTGTATTTTCTCAACTTCCAGCAAACGGCGGTCCTAAAATAGGCCACGAGTTTAAAAAATCGGACCGCGAGATATCAGAGATTTAAAAAAAATATGATTATTTCAATCATATTGTGTGATTTGTTCGTGCAGGCCCAACTATAAAGAGTTAAAAGTCATTGGTACTCCTGCAGTGACATAAAAAAAAAAAAAACTCGATTGTTATAAAAAAAAAATCTATATTGTAAAAATCGGTTGATGCTTGCTTCTATTTTTGAAGAGTAGGGTAGCAAAAATATTTTTGATTACATAATTTGACATTTAGGAGTAAATTTTAGACACAAAAGAAAACACTTTGTAAAGTACGAAATTGCCATTTCCGGTCATCTAGGGATAGGGCTATATCGTTAAAATTGAAACGACTCTCAAAACAGCAGCACTCTGATCCCCGGAACATTTTCAGCGGTTAAAAAAATGACCCCAGTTCTACAGGATTTGGTCTTGTAAGGATTTATCTTATATATAAGATGTTATCTTAATATCTATATGATTTTGTCCCATAGGATTTGTTTTTATAGATTCCCCAAATGGGATTTTTTATTACCGGCGCCAAATTTACATAGGCCTATTCTACAGAGGGGGTGGTAAATTCATGGGATAGGCCTCCTGTGACACGTGTGGGTTTTAAAAATATTGTTAATTTTTATTGCAATTAATTTTGATTTGTTATCTCCTTTAGTGTCATTTTAATGTGCAATATCTTTGTATATTTTTGCTGTAAATGTTACGCAATTTAGCCACTGATTACAATGTAAATTTTGAATATCATAATAATAATAATATTAAATCAGCAAACAAACTCTACATCGTTTCGTTTTAACAATACAATTGGATTGGATTTATTCGGTGTAAACACCAAGACAATCCCTTACTCTTTTCTAAAGAGTGTACTGTGTTCTTTAACGTGCACATGGGCGGGCCATAATGCACACGGGACCAACGGCTTAAACGTCTCATCCGAAAGACGGTGCGCTATTGTAACTTGTATTTCAGCCCTCTAGCTGAAACAGCGATGCAGCGATGGGAATTGAACTGGGGACCAGAGATCTTCACGGTTCAGCGCGCACACAGTGGCTACCACCAGATTAGCCGACTGAGCTAAGCTGCTCTCCAATTCGCCACCCTCCAATTGGAGACCACCTTTGGGACCTGCACATTTGGGATGGTTTTGGGGGTTGGTCTTCAATTAGAGGGTTAGCTTTGTAAGATTGTTTAATATTTGGTTATTTAAAAAAGGTAGTCTCGAATTAGGGGTCTAGTAACTAGAAGGTTCTCGCGAATTGGAGAATGCGCACCTAAGTGCAAAATTAAAATCACATGGTAGTTAAATTGTTCCAGTAGGCAGCGCTGGCTCCGGAAATTTGGCAGGGGATCTGACATGTCCGACAGCGGGGTCGAAACCAGGGGGCCGACTAAAAGTCCCTGGTGGGGTTCATAGGGAGAGTTAGGCCTATCCCAAATGTGTGCTTTTTAAACCACAGTTCCTATTGGGAATTCCATGGCAATCAAATACACGTTTGGATAGGCAAACTAATATATTGGTCTGACGAACTCGTCTTGGTGTCAGACAACCGGGGTCCAGGCCTGCGGGGAATTAGGACTAGGTAACTGCCCCCACCCCACACCCCTCCCCGTTGGCGCCATCGTGACCACTGCCAGCACCGGCTGTTGATTACTCTTCCTCAGAATCATTATCAATATCACACACATACACACAATGTAATTAGAAATTGAGTGTTTCCTTTCTGAGATCGTGTGGGTAAAACTATTGGCCACACCCCTTATTTAATAATAAAAATAACTTACACATGGCGTATATATACATTAAAGTTTATTTGAAGGACCGCTCGGTCCCTTAAGTGTGATGACCTTATTGTCCCGGCCGGAAGTAAACGTGCGAGTTCGTTGTATGTTGATGGCTGGTGTGTTGTCTGATGAGAGAAGAATCGCATCACCGAGTGTTTTTGATGATTAGGCCTAGGCATTTGTTGCTCAAACATTAAGCTAAATTGAAAATGCATTTCATCGTTTACAATCAGATGGATTCTAGGTAGGCATAGTTATTTGTAATGATTATTTTTTTTTAAATCATATGGTCAAAATGAAAAATCTAGTCCTAAAATACTGTGTAGGCTAGGCCTAGGGCCTAGGCAAGGGCAAGGACAGGGACGTCCGCCTCCTCCTCCTAGCTAGGGCCTAGGCCATAGGCCTAGATCCGCTTACTCTAGCGTAGGACCCAGCGTAGGAGAGAACCTTCTCAGTGTTTACTTCTATAGGCTATATTTTATTTTATTATGGTGAGGCTATACTATAATAAAATAAAGTATAGCCTATAGAGTAAACACTGAGGCTAGGCCTATACTTTATTTTAATATTATACTTATATAGGCCTAGGCCTAGGCTAGGTAGGGGCCTAGGCCTACAGTAGTAAGTAAGTAGGCTTATATCGTATGGCCTGCCTAGCTATCTCTAGCCTGGCTAGGACTAGCCTTAGTTTAAGGAGTAGGTTTTTTTTAGTTTCATAAAATAACTTCAACTTTCTTTTTTCTCAAAATGTCCAAATCAAAGAGCTCAATCACCAAACGCATAGAGGCTTTTTCGCATGATGCGCTCTACAAATCCAACTATTATTATATTAATAGCCTAGGCTATTTAGTGCTGTAGTTTGATAGGGCTTAGTATTAATTAGAATGGTAGGCTAGTACTTTACGATATTTATAGGCTAGACAGGCCCTATGTATATTATTACTTTTGGCTTTTGTAGGCTTCGCTGAGTAAATGGCCCAGGGCCCTAGTCTAGGTAGGAAATACTGTAGTCGCATGCACATAAACTATCATTGCACTGGCACATAGCTGTCTGTTGGCGCCTGAGAACCCTCGTCCAGATGCTGCACGTGCATTGAGGGCCAAAGTGAATTTTCGCATGATTACTGAGTGCTGTATGCAAAATCTGATTTTTATCACTAGAGAAGCCCCTGAAGTTTTTTCATGCATGCATTCTGATCTTTTGAGGTGCCATTAACACTCGGACAGACATTGTACGCCAACATCGTTGATAAAGTCGGTGCACAGAGGAAAAATCGACACAAGAAATACTCAATTATTTGTACCAAAAAGCCACAAAATTAGCTGTTGTGTATTTAGGATTTCTTTTCTGGAAACGCGGGAGTATACACAAAATTCAGGAGACCGGGAGATTGCTTGAAAATTTGGGAGACTCCCGATTTGAATCAAGAGGGTTTGGAATGTAGCCTATATTGTATTACCATTAAATTCTTTTTGATAAGATTACTTATAATCTAATTTTTTGAGCAAAATTAGGACCGCGCAATAAAAAGTTTTTAAATTACTTTCCTGGGTCGCCACAAAATTGTGGCTCACCCACAGGCCGTAATTTGCCTACCTGTGGTATAGGGCACGTCACCAGTTAAAATATAATAATTGGTCTACACTATTCATAAAAAATATAGTGAGTGCAACCAAGTTTGACTAGGCCAAGGCTAGGTTGGTAGGTCTACCTGTTGCCAGCTAGCCTTTTGTAGATCCTCTACCTAGAGGCTTAGTCTAGATGAGACCTGGCCTAGGCGTAGCATATACTGTAGGTTACTACTAGTTATATAATGCCCCAATAAAAATTGTTAAACTCGCATATCGCCGCATCTCTTTTTGTCATAAAAATCTTTTTTCCTGTAAACTTCGATTGTTGTGTTATGAAAGTTTGTTTTACTTGAGGGTTTGAAAACTTAAAACAAATTGTTGTTTTCTGTTGCTGTCATGCTAGGGGGAAAGTATGTGTTATGCCCCGTTTTCCCCCCAGTTTTTAAATATTTTAACAACCTGTCCTTATTAGATGTACCCAGAAGAAACATATCAACAAATTATTTCCTCTTGAGCCTAGCTTCGTTTACATAATTAATAATTAAAAAATATGTTACCAGGTGCATGTTTCAATGGTAAAAAAATATGGATGTGCATAGTAACTGTGCAGTTAAATGATAAGCATGTGAAGGTTTAGAGAAGGCTGGAAATCTGTCTTTGGTACCATGTAGGGTCTCATGAGATGACTGATTGTTGGCTTCATAGCCTAGAATGAAAATGAATGTAGAATATGGTGTGGAACCAGTCGAGGATGCATTACAATTATTCCATTAATTTAATTAAAATATAGCAGTTATAACTGCTATATTTTAATTAAATTAATGTTACCGATGCTTTTTTTCTCTTAGTAATAATAGGGAAATTGATGACAGTGGTTAGAGTAATGATGTCACAGAGACTTGGTCTATTTTTAGCTCCTATGCTATAACTTTGGCTACAGTTAAAAAATAAAAAAATAAAGAAAACAACTTATTGGCATGAATTTGCCAAAAGAGTTAGAAGTTTGCCAAAAAAAGTAGAAGAAAATTTATGGGGCTTTAATAGTGAAATTAATAAATTTTGGAATTGGAAATTTTGGCTTGGCCCATATGGACACGCAAAATTGTCTCTCATGCGAGGGTCATTCAAGGAGCAGAGTGATCCGACTCCAATTAAAACCTGACACCGGCCAGTTTTGAAGCAGAGTCTTCACAAGAAGAGGGACATTGCCTCTAGGCCAAATACTCAGCTCTAGTTCTACAGTACAGTAGATCCAAATCACGATGCTTTTGAGATTAAGTTATACAGCACTGGCCTATTTGTATCCACTGAACTTGTACCTTCATTTAAAGAAATCAGAGGAGAACCAAGGAACTATCTATTGCCTCCCCTCAGAATTATACAAATTGGAAGGAGGGGTTGGTCCGGTTAAGATGTATTTTTCTCGATGGGAATTTTGAGCATTAGAGGACCATAACTTAAAAAGAATGTCTGATTTATTATACTTAGGCCTAGGCCTATATAGGCCTAGGCCTAGGCTAGGGGCCTAGGCTAGGGGCCTAGGCCTACAGTAGTAAGTAAGTAGGTTTATATCGTATGGCCTCCCTAGCTATCTCTAGCCTGGCTAGGACTAGGCTATTTAGTGCTGTAGTTTGATAGGGCCTAGTATTAATTAGAATGGTAGGCTAGACAGGCACTATGTATATTATTACTTTTGGCTTTTGTAGGCTTTGCTGAGTAAATGGCCCAGGGCCTAGTCTAGGTAGTAAATACTGTAGTCGCATGCACATAAACTATCATTGCACTGGCACATAGCTGTCTGTTGGCGCCTGAGAACCCTCGTCCAGATGCTGCACATGCATTGAGGGCCAAAGTGAATTTTCGAATGATTACTGAGTGCTGTATGCAAAATCTGATTTTTATCACTAGAGAAGCCCCCTGAAGATTTTTCATGCATGCATTCTGATCTTTTGAGGTGCCACTCGGACAGACATTGTACGCCAACATCGTTGATAAAGTCGGTGCACAGAGGAAAAATCGACACAAGAAATACTCAATTATTGGTACCAAAAAGCCACAAAATTAGCTGTTTTGTGTATTTAGGATTTCTTTTCTGGAAACGCGGGAGTATATACAAAATTCGGGAGACCGGGAGATTGCTTGAAAATTTGGGAGACTCCCGATTTGAATCAAGAGGGTTTGGAATGTAGCCTATATTGTATTACCATTAAATTCTTTTTGATAAGATTACTTATAATCTAATTTTTCGAGCAAAATTAGGACCGCGCAATAAAAAGTTTTTAAATATACTTTCCTGGGTCACCACAAAATTGTGGCTCGCCCACAGGCCGCATTTTGCCTACCTGTTTAAAAAATAAAGAAAACAACTCATTGGCATGAATTTGCCAAAAGAGTTAGAAGTTTGCCAAAAAAAGTAGAAGAAAATTTATGGGGCTTTAATAGTGAAATTAATAAATTTTGGAATTGGAAATTTTGGCTTGGCCCATATGGACACGCAAAATTGTCTCTCATGCGAGGGTCATTCAAGGAGCAGAGTGATCCGACTCCAATTAAAACCTGACACCGGCCAGTTTTGAAGCAGAGTCTTCACAAGAAGAGGGACATTGCCTCTAGGCCAAATACTCAGCTCTAGTTCTACAGTACAGTAGATCCAAATCACGATGCTTTTGAGATTAAGTTATACAGCACTGGCCTATTTGTATCCACTGAACTTGTACCTTCATTTAAAGAAATCAGAGGAGATCTACAAATAGCTCTCCTCCGAGAATCAAGGAACTATCTATTGCCTCTCCTCAGAATTATACAAATTGGAAGGAGGGGTTGGTCCAGTTAAGATGTATTTTTCTCGATGGGAATTTTGAGCATTAGAGGACCATAACTTAAAAAGAATGTCTGATTTTTACTAATCTTTTTTTGGGGGACAATTGTCCTAGGATGCAACAGTCTGGGGAGATAATGTCACGGAGGAAAATGTCCAGGGACAAAATACCGGGGGAAGTGTCCAGGGGGAAATCAGCCTGCTTCAGAAGTTTTATGTGTATTTTTTCTTGGTTATTTTCTGTGAACTTTGAAATAATGGGGTTTAATTTCTCTGTGCATGTCTCAATGGAAAAATTGGCCTATTTCAACAGTCTTTTGAAAACATCATCTCCAAAAAGAATGTGCTCTAATTATACAGTAAATTTGAGAAAGTGGAAATGAATGTCTGAATTTTATATTCAAAACATAACAATATTTTTTACCAAAATTTTTTACAAAATTGGTCCGTATTTCGCGATCATATGCCGTGTTACCCAGGGACTGAGGCTGTGTTAAAACCTGACTAGGATAAGCTGCTTCTAAACATTTAAGTACAACAGAAACAGAAAATATATACTGTATATACAGTGTACACTATACAGTAAACAGTATAGCCTACTTCAGTTTTAATGTCCACACACTATCAGGATTTACTTACATTATAATTGGAATCAGGGAAGAAATTTAGTAATGAACCAATTGTTAATCCTGTGCACATGCAATATTTTGGTATATCAAACTTTAACAGAATCTTGTAACTTATTTTATTTAATCTTTCTTTAAGAGGTTTTTTTGCTAATTCATTTTATTTGAGATATTAATTTAAGATCATGTTTCATTATTTGTGTCAAAACAATTACTTGTTTAGATTATTGTACATGGTTTGTATTATAATAGAATTTAAAATAATTATTATATTAAACTGGATGAGTGAGGTTCACAGACCTTTAGTTGTAGTGAAGTTTGCTTTTGTGACTCTGCCTGCTCTTTCAGTTTATTGATATTGTAAAATACATCACTTCGGGGGTTTTTTTTTGGAAATAAAGAATATGAAATTAGAAAAATTTATGAGCTTGAATACAATCAGAATGCAAAAACAAAAATCAAAATTCAACAGAAACGAAAGTTTGTACTAAACTTTGACCTAAGATACCTATTGGAATAATGTTGTTTAAAGATAATCTTTTTTGGTTCTGAAATATTATACTCACAATAGAAATTAAATTGAACCCTGGATATTGATATACCTGGGAATTATTAATGACTTTTGTACAAACTCTATTTGATGGCTTTTAATGTCAATGTCCTATTTAAGAGGGAAAGGATGAAATAAGTGTAAAATTAATCTTACTTAGTTAGAATAGGTGCATTTTAAGTTACCATGATTAGTTTTGCATAATAAATTGGCTTTGGGATTATTTTAATCTCAACAATGCATATGTAGCTACTGTATTAGCTAAGCTTTACTTCTATTTAATTAAACTGTTAGTTATTACACTAATGTTAATGAGTAATTTATGAATTCACCTTTAAATTGATTGACAATCATTTTGTAGATTTTGTATAGTAAAAAGTCTTTAGACCAACAGACTTTGATAACATTTAAATTAGCAACTCTCACTTGTTTTGTTGAGTGTTTAAGATTTTACCGCAGCCGGTGTATTTTTAACCCTAACATCGAGAGGATGGGGCTGGTGTGGCTAGTGACCTAGTGCTCGGGCCTCGCTGGGCACCTGGGACGATAACAATGTATTTTTATCAAGATCTGATTACTATAATTATGTGTTATTTAAACTTATGTATTTTTATTACCTTGTTACTATAACAGCATTCTTGGTATTGTTGTTGTCTTCACCGCCACTGATGTTGTTGGTGATGAGATCATCATTACAATAATTGCTAGACTTATTGCTATTATTAATTTCTAAAAAAAACTGAAATTATCCTTTGTGTACAGACCATGCAGCTCAAACTCAATGAAATAGTAACTAAAGTTGGAGATTCAAGATTCACTTTATTTGTCAAAAATTAGGTGAAATGCTTTTCATGAAAAATACAAACAGGAGTTAAATACAGAAACACTAATATTAAAAGACTTTAAAAAAAAAAGAAGAAAAAAAAAAAAAAAAAAAAAAAAACAAAAAAAAAAAACCAGCTATATTTAATTCCAATAAAATACTGACCTATTGAATACTGTCTTATTAATTTAACACCATTTAAAATCGTATCACTTATACCATCTTAACCTGATGAGTTCAGATGGTAATTTAATTTTACTTTTGTTCATGAAAAACACTGTGTTAACCAGCTTTATCAATACATTATTACATGCATACAACCAGAGATTGAGCATATGTTCCATATGTGCTTGATCCAGTGACCGGGAGATAAAATATTAGGTGCATAGAGGTCTCTGTAATATACGCTATGTAAGTCGACCATTCATTGTATTGGATTGGATTGGATTTATTTGGTGTAAACACCAAGGATAGCCCACAAAAGTCTAGAAGAAGACTTATTTCCAGTGGGGTCCTTCTGGTGGTGATTGGGCAGTACACCAGGAGACAATCCCCTTCTCTTTTCTGAAGAGTGTACTGCGTTCTTTAACATGCACATGGGCCATAAATGCACACAGGACCAACGGCTTAAACGTCTCATCCGAAAGAAGGTGCGCTATTGTAACTTGTATTTCAGCCCTTCAGCTGAAACACAAGGGGAGGCAGCGATGGGAATTGAAATGGCGACCTAGAGATCGCCAAGGTTCAGCGCACACACAGTGGTTACCACCAGATTAGCTGATTGAGCTAAGCTCCTCTCTACAATTACTATTATTTGGTGATCCGCATCTAGTGCGGATCACCTCTTGTTACTGTCAGGATCATCATCATCTTCATCTTCTTTTTTTTATTCTTCTTTCTTTCTCCCCTTTTTTGTTCGCACGATATCTCGATAAATTCCACGAGTTACAGTACGCATAATAGCACTTCAGCGAACATTTGGCTTGGTCTGGAATAGTCACGGTAAGCTTTTCAACGCGCTCAGTCATGCATGACGTCAACTAAGCGCAATTTTGCGTTTTTACATTATCGATCATATCAGCCTAACCAATTTGCCATTTCGAAATCGCATTAAGTGGGCATTAACTTCAGGTTAATATTCAATATAATGTACCCTAATTTTACGCGTGCGCTTCATAACGCGTGCGACAAAATTTCAAAATGCTTGAAATCACTTTTTGACTAAATTAGAGCACGTTTTAGGCCATTCTTAGCATTTCAACATTTTGTTAAATTTTCCAATACGCGCACGTAAAAATGCGCAGGTATGGAAGCTGAAAATTTTTTTTTTTACATGTTTTGGGTTCATCTGAATTTAAAGAAAGTGAATTTTAGCTATGACGTCATTTTTGAAAATACGTATTTGAGCGTATCTCACTTATCCTTGGGCGATTGTCTTCCAACTTTGAGTATGTTATAGCTGAGACAATTCTCTTTCAATCTTCTCTCCTCAAAAATTTCTTAACCACATAATCATCTTAACCAGTTGTCATTTCTGAATCATATTTAGTAAGCATAAACTTCAGGTCAAGGTTGAATGTTATGTACCTTAATTTTTTGTGCACGCGTCTTAACGTGCGCGTACGTGTGCGAAACATTTTCTATATGCTAAAAATCAGGAATATTTTTATTCAGTTATAGCTCCTTAGGATGAAAAGTGACCCCCAATTTTTATTACATATTCTGAAAGCACATGAGTTGTAGATATGATTTTATAGATCATTATGGCTGATCGGAGATTCTGACGTCATCATATTGCCATCTGAATTCAAAAAACTGAATTTTTATATATGGTAAATATTATGAATGATAATAAGTCCCTCACTAACAGGCGTTTGACAATGAGAATTGATACATATATCTCAAATCATGAGTGAACATTTTAGGACATTACCATGCGCACGTGCGTCGTGACGTGCGCGTACGCATGAGTAAATCTTTTAAAATGCTTCAATTTCTTTAAAAAAAAAAAACTTAATTAGCATATACTTTGGGCCATTTTCAGCATTTAAAAATTGTTCAATTTGCACCGCGCACACTTCCTCGAGGGGCAAAGTGCGGCGGATCACCTAACTCGTCCTCAGTGATGAGTTCAAATCTAGTTAATGATTTCTTTTTGTTTATCAAAACTTTTTTTTTTATTTAAGAGTGGTTTCAACCAAATGTGCTGGCTATGGAAATGGAAATGGATCGCTATAGAAACCAACAGGAAAGTTCTGCTATATATGAAGATTTGAAACAGTAACCAATAACATGGGTGTGAAGGGACTAGGAAGGTATATTGATGAGCACTGCCCTGAAGCATGTCTAAAAGTCAACCTAAGGTTTATGGCAGGAGATTACAGAAGGAAATATCAGAAACCGCCTACTCTTGTAATTGATGGTTGTGGCTTGCTTAGGAAACTCTATCCTCCTCATTGGGATTGGGTATATGGGGGTCAATGGGTAGAATTTGCTAGTAATGCAAAGAAACTAGTTGAAAAGTTGGAGGGTGCAGGCATAAACCCTGTATTTATATTTGATGGAGTTGTGGAGAAAAGGAAGCGAGGGACTTGGATCAAACGGAGACAGAATGACCGTAGGCTTGTTGCAAAAATATATAGGTTCATCAAGGAGAAGGGTAGGCACCCTGATAGCCATATGTACTTTCTTCCAACGGGATTAATGGGATTTTGTAGACAAGCACTAAAAGCAGCTGGGGCTACTGTAATGAAGTCTACAGTGGAAGCCGATAAAGAAATTTATCAGTATTATTTAGAAAACAGTTGCTTTGGCGTGTTGGGTCAGGATTCTGATTTCCTTATTTACGACATCCAGCATTACTTTTGTCTGCAAGATTTGGATATTAGAACTTTAAATGTCAAATTGTATGATAAAGAAATAATTCGTCAGCATTTAAGGCTTGAAACATATCAATTCCCTTTGCTTGCTTGTTTATTGGGGAATGACTTTCTGGAGCCGGATCAGCTGAATAAATTTTATTGTCATCTTTTCAATTTGCCACCTCATAAAAAGCCTCCACCAATGAAAGAAAGGGTTAAGAAAGTTGCAGACTTCATCCACGATCTTGGAATACAAGAACTGAATGAGGAAAATTTGAGGCATTTGGAGTGTGATCTACTAGGATCTAACCAAGATCTATTTACTTTGGTGGTTCAAGATTATACATTGAAAAGTTTTACCAAAGCTGTAAAATCAGAGGGCTTCCAAAATGATGTATCTTTGCAGCCAAAGACTGGAATGAATCCTTTCCTCAGGGATGATCAACTAGAAAGAACACTGAAAATCAGTGTTAATCCTGAGGTGTACCAGAAAATATGCGATACTCAAATAACATCACAATCTGGTGATATCCGCAAATTAATACTATTTGCAGAATTAGATCAATCTACATCATTAGAAGATGATGAGGACATCAGCATGCCTTCCTCTGGACTTCTGTTCCGTCCAATCAGAAGGAGAGTCTATGGCATTGTTCTCAACCAGAAACAAGATATTGGGTCAAAAAAGGAGGATAATCTCAGCTCACATAATAGTACATTATCACTAGAACCTGCTGAAGTGGGAAATAATGAGAGTGGATCATATGTGGTTGGTGTGAATGCTATTGCAGAGTGGGTTGTCTATTCTGGGTTCACTTTTAGTAAAGAAGATATCGTGCCAATGGTGAGACCCTGTAAGTAAATGTAACCATTTGAATTAACTTTGTAAACATTCTATACTACACATCATCACCATACATAGACACAAATAAAACTTGATAGTCTGACAGAACTTAACAATATCTACCATTATGTTCTAACGCAGGGCATCAAATATAATTATGATCCACTTAAGGTGATCTCAGCCTGACTATGGTGGGCGCTAACATGCAAAATTATGTATTTTCTCCTGATGCCTGGATATAGCATGGTGTTTATTAATTTTTTACTTTTCATAATGGGCACCTCTTAAGGAGGATGTCTGCTGCTCTCTCCCTGTATTTGGTGTTGTTTACTGAACATAGAACCGATAAAAAAAAAAAACTCATATTGAAAATACATTACATTGTAAATTAATAATGAATAATATTTAAGACTATACTGTACATAAGTTTCCATATCCTGCAAAAATCTTCTTTGTGCCTAGACCATTGTCAGAACTACATTTTTTTGGTATCGCTTTCAGGTGACTCATTGACACTGGATGATTTATGGCTTTCTAATGGAGATGTGGCAGAAGAGACACGTCTGAAAGCATTTTTGTTTTGTGTACATTGTGACATCCATTTGGAGTCTGTGTTCTCGATTCCTGAGCAGTACATTGTGCTCTGCCTATTGCTACACTACATGATTAAGATGGACTCCATGTGGCAGATCAGCGAGCGTGATGTTGATGCCTTCATTGCACAGACTGTCTGCCTCAGAACTCATGATGAACACAGCTTAAGAAATCTGAAGGTTAGCCTGTCATCTTACTATCATTTTGTATGTATGATGATGATGATGATATGACGTGAAGTTGAAAAAATTTGTTAGGATTTATAATAGCATCCTATCATTCATGGGTACTTGTTAAGAAAACCTATCAAATATATTTGCTTGGTGAAGTATGTGCCTTAGTGCATCGAAGCTTCAGCATTTTGCACTGTAGTCTAGTCTTTTTCTGTTATACTTGTTTGATTTTCATATTGCAGGTGCCAAGTGTTAAAGCAAGAGCAGTACATTTAGCGACGTTATTCATGAGGGGTATATCAACACTCAAGTTGGCCAACTCCACTTGCAATGCTCCTATTAAAAAGGATGCTTTCCATCCTTGGAGATTCTTTGATGGGAAACTTTTTCATAAAATGTATCTCATGGCTGATGAAGGAGCACCACTTAATGTCCTGTGTAACAGAGAGGTATGTATCATTTTAAACATGTTTTTTTTTTTATGTGTCTGTCAGATATGTCAAGTTCACTGACATTGATAATGTTTGCATTTCTCAAATATAAAGCCATACCTAACTCAGTGTAAAGACTTTATTTTCATACCTGATCAAATTAACACATGCAAAAGCAGGACGCACAATAGAAAATGCGTGCACTTTGCACACTATAGGCACTCGGTACACGCATCAGGAAAGGAATTGGTTTTTTGTTATTTTTCAGGATCGTTTTGCTAAGTAACACTTGGCATCAAGCAAAGAAAGGAATACTGTACACAAAAAAGAAATGTCAAAAATGGTTAAACAGAAGTGAAAACCATAGCTAAACAAAGAACATCTTGTATAGTATCATCAATATGTGCACGACACTAGGGGACAAACAGCCCTAATGAGTCTTTTAATAATAAAATCTTTCTTTTAAAACAGAAGCTTGTTCACTAAAGGTGGTGTTCTTTAACGAAAACTTAACTTATGAAATGTAGAACTAAACAAGAACAACTTATAAAATTAAAAACTAAAGGAAAACAGAAAAGCTTAAAACCAAAAAACCAAAGATACAACCAAATAAAATGTGCTTAAAAATTATATTGAAATTATCTTTTTAAAATTATTTAGAGTTGTAGTATTGTTTGTGGTCTTATCATTATTGTTATTGTACTTAAGTACTTAAAAAAGAACTTAATAAATAGACAGTACGTTGCTCCAAATCATTTGGCTTGGACCAAAGAGATGTATTAAAATTATAATAATTATATTTGTCAATTCAATCCCTACTTGGGCTAAAAGGATAGGATACACAAGGTTTGTTTTTTAACATTACACTACATGTAAATATAGGTCTCTTGGTGAATGTGTGAGGCACAAGAGTTCTATGGTCTCATATTTGGAGTTGGCTCATTAATGTATAGTATTGAAGGGTGTGTAGCAAGGGTAAGTTTTTACTGCCAAAAACGTTAGTAAATTAGTAAAACTGTGCTAAATATAACAAAAAGACAGTAAGTCCGAAAAGAGACAGACATTTTGAGATTAAACGTTTCGATCTATTTGATCATTTTCAAGAATTCTGATGAGAAAATCTCACCCATCCTTATATGTTTGACCTAGTTCAGACTAGGTGGATAAACCCAGCTCAACTCACCGGGTTTATCCACCTGCCAGTCTTAACTAGGTGGCTTATCTCAAGCCGGGCTGTGTTCCTATAGTAACTAGGCCTGGCGCGCCACCGTGTTTAACTTTTCTAAGCCGGGCTTTAATCATTGCGGGGGGTCTTGCATTGACTTCGGGTGACAAAATGACCAATCAGCATTCAATTACGAATGCTGTGAGCGAGCGTACGTTTCGCTAACAATGTTTTGAAACACTTTTCCTGGTTACGGTTCATTATTATGCAAATTCTCGCCTGGCTAATCCCGCTAGTCTGAACGCCCAGCAAAGTTAAGCCGGGCTTAACATTGAGCCGGGCTTAACTCAAGCCTGGCTTATCTCCAAGTCTGAACGTAGCCTCTGTCTCTTTTCGGAGTTACTGTCTTTTTGTTTTATTGCTGCGAAGCAGCCAATTCATATTCTTGACAGCAATTTGACCTCTGAAAGGTCATTGTTTGTCAAGAAACAAGGGCCTAAGACGACTGAAAAGCGGAGTTTCCTTCTTTCGTTCTGCCGGGTAAAATCAATTACTTTAGACGACGTTTGTAGACTAACCTACACATACCAATGTCCGCATGTCTCGACGCTCGAGTATTACTATTCAGTGTTTTTACTATATTTCTAGGTGTCCTATTTCTATGTTTAATCAGCCCATGTCTCAGCCACAATATTTTGAGGCCAATATTATTTGCGAACCCAGTTAAACTTATTTACTACCCAGTTAAACTTTG